GAAAGATAAAATTCTCAATGTCTGAAAATTACCAGGCATAATGAGAAAAAATCCAGAAACAGGCCAAGAAATGATCCAGAAATGATAGATGATAGTAGGACATTCAAACAGTTATATTCCATATATTAGATGGTAGAGGAAAGCATGAGCATATGAAGGAGATATGGAAGATATAAAGAAAACCTTAAAACTTCTAGAGATTAAAAAAAGTGAGATGAAACTATACAAACTGGGATTAAGAGCAGATCAGACACTGCAGAAGAAAACATTACTGACCCTGAAGACATAGCAATTAGAAACTCTAATATGTAAAACAAGACAGATCCCACTGTGCTTGTTACTAATTTTATTGCCTCAGTTCCAAATTCATCTTTGGCCTGCTCTGTGATAATGGAGCTATTTCTTGTAATAGCTCTCCTTTGTCAGCCAGCAAGATGTTAAGCCTTGTCAGTAGAGGGTGCTCAAGAGGTTTTGGAAGAGGTAGGGGGCTTTCCTTCCAATTCTAGTGTGCCTTGCTCTTGAAGTCCCTGGAGAGCACACTTTTTCTCCACTGCTTTGGCCCCTAGGGTTTCTCCAGTGCTAGGATCCTGCATGGCATAGCTTTCTCCAATATTTGACTACTGCAACTCTTGCTCTGTTATATTCTCACTTCCAGAAACAGTACAAACCAGAAGATAGTATAGCAACATCTTAAAAGTACTGAAAGAAAAAACTGTCAATCTAGAATTCTATACCCTCCAAAAATATATTTAAAAAAATAAGATAATCTAATAAATACTACACAGACCCATGTTCAAATGCCCCAATTCCCAAATAATGTTCTTTTTTCCCTCCAGCCTAGGATCCAATCAAAGATCTTATGTTAAGTTGTTATATCTTTTTAATCTCCTTCAAATTAAAATAGTCCCCAGCCTTTTTTATTTTTAATGACATTGACATTTTTGAAGAGGTCAGGCTAGTTTTTTTCTTTCTTTCTTTCTTAGAATGTCACTCAGTTGGATTTTGTTGGATTGTTCCTTCATGATTAGATTCAGGTAAACCTTTTTACGAGAATACTATGTCAACAGTGTGTCCTTCTTAATGCATCACATCAGGGCCCCTGCTGTCCCTTTGTCACATTATTAGTGATATTAAATCTAATCACTTTGTTAAGGTAGCATTTGTAAAACTCCTCTATCTTTAAGGTACCTTTTTCCATTTATAAATATCCTTCATGGGGTGATACTTTGAGAGTGTATGGATAGCTTCTTCCTCAGTAGGTTTTAATCTATGATTTTAGCATCCATTGATGATTCTTGCCTGAATACTCAAAGAAACATTTGGAATAACAGTGCTTCCTGTTCAAATTTTTAAATAATTATTTTATAATCTTCATAAGCATTTTCGTTGGTTATAGTTGATGAGAGCTGTGGTGTCCACTTGGGATTTTTTCCATTTTAACACAGGCATCTGAGGGAATTTATGCCACGTGGAAGCTCAGCTTGCTTGCCTTCAGAGGGAAGCTGTAATCACAGTAGTGGTTTTGGAAGCCTAATATAGAATAACATTAAGGCATTGACATTTAACCAGTGTGCTAGACTCCAAATGACATAATCCATGCTTGTTAGAGAGTGCGTAATGGGTAAAATATGGCAAAATCCTTGGAGTTTTTGTTGTTGTTGTTGTCTCTATCTTCAGAATTCTATAATTATAAAGCCTTCATTTCTCTTCAAAAAAATTCCCATAATTTTTCCATATATTTCTAAGGATCATCTTTCTAAAACTTTTTCTTGAGAAAAGAGAGGTTCCCCTCTGTCACCAATGCCAAATTGAGATTCTTAGTGGGCTGTAAGATGGCAACTCATTTCAGAAGGAGGGGGATGATTTTAACCAGATGAGTGGAAAGTGACAGTAATAAAAAAGTTGAGGGCACATGAAGATCTCACTGTATGAATAAACTCAGACCAGCTTCTTACTTGCTAAATTTTAAGGCCTAAGTTCCTGGATCCCTTGGTGGAAGACCCTTCCCTTTATGTGCCATAGCAGAGTGCCCATTTCATCCTTGCCTGGACTGACCCTGGGTCAGGAGGAGTGCCCATGACTGCTTTTGGCAACACCTTTCCTGCCTCCTCACAGGAGACCAGCTTGCATGCAGGTCAGTGTCATTCCTAGACCACAGAAGGCACCCTGGAAATGGTCTTTTTGTTCAAAAGCTTCCAGCTGTGTCTCTTCCTGTCTGCCTGCCCGGTCCACCAGAAGCTGGTTTTGCTCACATTTCAACAGTGCACAAGGGAGCATTCGTCTTGATGGCCTCTGAGATCATCCTGGCACCAGATTCCCCAATGTGATTTCCCTGGAGACTAGAAGAGAAGAATTAGGACCAGTTGGGAAGTTGGCCTGCAAGTTCTCTTTATTAAAGAGCAGGTAGTCACTGCATAAAATACAGAAATCTGGGCAAAATTTTTGTGCTTCCAGGATCCTTCCCAAGGACAAGACTCTGAATGGCTTCTTCTTATACCAAGATTCCCCCAGAGGTGCTGAGTGGCCTGGGAGTCAGCTATTTCTTAGAATTGGGCAGAAGGCAGGGCCTGACCTGGTAGCAGTTCTAAGAGTGAGCAAGAATGGCAAGAAAGGACAGATACTCCCGAGCCCCACTCACTTGATATGCTGGAGTCCATGGTTTCCAGACAGTGCGGTGGCAACACATATTGCTCCATCCATCCCCAGGGAATTCTCTTGAAGACTAGCAGAGAAAAGACACCACAGTGAGCCATTCAGGATGGAAGAACATGCCCAGGAAGTAGCACTACATTATCTTGAGGGGCATTTCTGGAGATGATTTGTCCACTGGCACCATACCAATTGTGAGGAGGCATTTGACCCTGAGACCAGAGTTTATAAGGAGCCAGTTGTCCCATCCAAGTGCAATGGATGGTGTAAGACCAAAACTGCAGATGTTAAGTAACTTACCTCTGACTTAAGCTAGCCAGAATGAACAAATCTGTCCATAATTATATTTGGACTATACTGACCAGAACAGTGAACAATTTCTATTCAGAAGGAAGGATCTACAGAGGAAATCAAGAGCATCTTATTCCATGGGGAGGTTCCAGCAGAGAAGTGGTCTGCTTTGGGTGCAGTAGGGCTCTACAACCACTCACTTGAGTCTTCGGAGACTTGAGTTGACCTTCAGAGCATTCGCCAGAGCTTTGGCTCCAGCTACTCCAATGGTGTTTCCTCTTAAGCTGTCAGGAAAGACAGGAAACATAAGGTACAGTGATGGCTGAGAGGAGAAAATGATCCCTCTTCAGATGAGTATCGGCTACTGGGTAGAGGCAGTGTGGACTCATCAGCCATGAGGGGTTAGGTTGTTCCTCCCAGGCACAGAAGGGAGATTGGCGCTGGAGAGCATGTAGGAGACACGGGAGGGATGAGCCAGCCCAGTCTGAGTAGTTTGTTGGAGGCTTCATCCTCCTTTTCCATTCCAAAGATAAGAACTGGGTAGAGGCGATACTCCAACCAACCAGTCCCTGTGTTCTTGACATCATGGCCGCAGCAGCAGGGAAGACCTGAACATGCCTGAGAGGCTCACAGAGCTTGAGGCCCCAAACTGCTGGATCTCAAAGACCAAGGTCAGTGGTCACGGACCACCCCAGGGTCCCCTAAACAGGGCCTCACGATGTGTTCAGCCTGGGCAAAACCAAGAAGAATGGTTACTCTAGGAGGGGAGGACCAGCAATAGTGACTCACAGGGAAAAGGGGTGAAGCGGGAATGGGGAAGCCAGGCATGCTTGATTTAAGTGAAGATATTTAAATTATTTGTGAGTTCCATGTAAATTGACATTTTTTTCTCTTCTATATTTATTTTGAATCAACAGCTTGGTTTCTTTGGTTAGGACAATGTAGCTGTAGACTGGAATACTTACTCAAGAATCTCCAAGGTTCTGTTCACAGACAGGGCCTCTCCCAGTGCCTGGGCTCCTGGGGCACCAATGGAGGTCACCTGGAGACTGTAAAAAGAGATGCCATCACATGGACAGGCTGTCCCTCTTCAGCCCTCACACCTGCCTCAAGCCCAGCTTCCATCCATATTTGCCATTCATTTTCACCACCCCTTGACTTAGGGCTGAAAGTGATGAAATAGCACTGCAAATTGTTGGCTCATGATCTGTCCAAAGAATGCTACATCTCCTACCTATTCTGTCTGTTGCCTAGGACAGATCTGGATACTATGGACACAGGAAGTAGAGATAGTCTCCTGAAGAGTTTGGGGGAGGATCCTCCTTGTACCCTAATTCTTACTTTTTAGATGTTTGCTGCATGATTGCTAGTATTAGGAAAATCAAACACACCTTCCTTGACTGGAAAACAAAAAATGGTGTTTCATATGAAGGGATGGTGAAGGGCTGGCTTCCTGGGCTGCTGTGTACATCAGGACTTACTAGAGAGCAGTGAGGGCTGTGTTCGCCTTCAGCGCATTGGCCACCGCACAGACACCTTCATCCCCAATGGCATTCTCCTGTAAACTGAGCACAGAGAATGACCCCTGGGTACATGGAGCACAGGGCCAGCTCTCTAGCATGATGTGCAGTGCTGGGATCTTCTATTTAATTCAGACCACACACACCATAGACTATACTTCCAGGATTACCCTGTTTGGCTACTGTAGCCCCATGGCCTCCTAATTAACATGCAGAGAAGTCTGGGGTCTGCACAAGTATGGACCATCAGAGGCAAAAAAGAAAAAGGACAAGTGGCAATACTGTCAAGGGCTTGAGACAAAAAAGAGGATGCTTTTCAAAGCCAACTAGAAGAAAAATTTAAACCCTTGATCCCTCAAAGGCTGTTCTAGTCAGGATTTTACGTCTTTCCTTTTTTTACATTGGAAGAAAGTAGCTGGCCCCGAAGCAGTTCCTCAAAGGCTGTTCTAGTCAGGATTTTACGTCTTTTTTTACGTTGGAAGAAAGTAGCTGGCCCCGGAGCAGTAAATGATTAAGAGTTTAGTGGACATTGACGTATTTAAGGGAGTAGTTTGCAATAATAATTTTAACAGACATTGACTGCATTGTGTACTAGCAAGCCCAATTCTTCCCACTTGGAACTCAGGTGGGGAGATGTGATGAAATGAGCAGTCACCATAGGCCATGTGCAGGCTGCAGGGAGGACCCTGTGGGGTCTCCCACTCCGGTGTGGTCACACAGGCTGCCCAGAAGAAACAGGTCTAAACTAAAACCCGAAGGATAATAGATGGGGGAGAAGGCCTAGCAAATCTAAAAGAAACCCCCCAAATTGAGTCAAGTCTCAAGTATGAGACAAGGCTGAGGAGGTACAAAGGAAGCAGATGTTTAGGGTCCTTAGAAGCCATGCTAAAGTTTGGACTTCACTCTGCAGGGACTAGGCAGCCATTGAAACATCTCACCAGGACAGGGACAGATTTGCATTTTAGAAGGATCTTGACCAGCAGTATGAGAGGATGGACTAGATGTGGAGGTTGTTGCAGTGATACAGGTGAATGATGTTGGTGGCCTGGACAGTGGCCAAGAGGTTGGGACATAGGGAGGAGCATCAACAGGACTTGGAAGTGAATCAACAGGATTTAGAGCAAAGACGATGTTTCTTTTTGCATGTTTGGTTGGTTCTATTCATGAGATGAGGGGCCAAGAAGCAGGCTTGTGAGGGAGATAATTTGGGTAGTTTGAAGTATCTGTAAGACATCCAAGGGGAGGTGCAGACTGGGCAGTGGACACATGGGTCTGGAGCTCAAGAGAGAGGTCTGAGATTCAGATGTGGGGCCATCAGGACTTTGAAGGGAATTGGAGCCTGGGAGAGAAGGGAGTGCTTCCAGAAAATAGATGTCGTTCAAGGGAAGATGGCCTAGGACAAAACCCGAAGGAAACCAGTATTTCAAACAAGAGATGGACATCCTGGAAGCTAAGAGAGAAGTAGTGTCAAAAGCAGATGAGACTCAAAAGGTTATTTGACCCAGCGATTCCGCTCCCAGGTGTGTACACAAGAGAACTGAAAGCTTATGTACACACAGAAACTTGTGCATTGATGTTTATAGCAGCAGCATTCATAATAGCCGAAAAGTATAAACAACTGAGATGTCCATCAACAGATGAGTGGATAAACAGAATGTGGTCTGTCTCTACAGTGGAATACTATTCAGTCCTAAAAAGTACTGACATATACTATAATGTAGATGAAACTTGAAAACATTATACTAAATGGAAGATGTCAGTTACAAAAGACCACATATTGTACGATTTCATTTATATGAAATGTCAAGAATAGGCAAATCCATAGAGATAGTAAATTAATGGTTGCCAGGGGCTGGGGAGAATGGGAAGTGACTGCTAATGGATGTGGGTTTTCTTTGAGGGTGATGGAAATGTTTTAAAATTGATTACAACTGTACAACTGTGAATATACTAGAAACCAGTGAATTGTACACTTTAAATGGGTAGATTATATCTTAATAAATAAATCTGTTATTTTTTCTTTAAAAAAAAGCAGATGAGGATGAAAACATGTCTGTGGCTTTAGGTCAGAGGAGACTGTGTGCTGAGGGCATGAACACTGTCCACTGCCCATGAGCGCCTGGTTGGTACCAAGCTTTCAGATTCCCCTGCTCCCTTGCCCTCCCCATGGCCTGCATGGAGGCCCCACTTACTCGAGGCTGGTCAGGCTCCTGTTGAACTGTAGTGCTTGTCCCAGGGCCTTGGCAGCGCCAGCCTGGATGAAGTTCCACTGCAGGCTGGGCAAACACAGACCACATAACTATGTGGCTCACAGAAGAGCCCAGAAAGTCTTGGGGCTCCAGAAAGAGGGGACTAATCCCAAGAGAGTCTGATGACAGTGGGTGGAGTCCCTGCAGGACGGGTTCTGGCCACTGATGGACAGACCTCCTCCTCAGGCTTAGTCTTAAGGGGTCAGCATTCACTCTCTGGTTAGGAGTGGGCACAGGTACAGGCTCTAATAAAGACTCTAGATGGCCCCTGCATGAAGCATGTGACATAGAGGTACAGCTGTGGGCACTACCTCCTACCACTGGCTTCTCTGTGGATCAGCCTCAGAAAGCAGAGCAGGGGGCAAGGCCAGTGGCCTCTGCAGGTGACTACCTGCAGCCTGCTGGAGGCCCCAGAGAACATGTGAGTGCTCAAAGCCAGATTTGGACTCCTGCCTCAGCTGTTTTGGGTGTAGCCCTGTAGCTCTGCGGAAGGGATGGGGCAGGTGGGATTGCCGAGGACTCACTGAAGGGATGTGAGGGCGTGGTTTTCTCTCACTGCCACTGCGATGGCCTGGGCACCCTGGTCATGGAGGAGGTTGGCTGTCAGGCTGGGAGGAGGAGAACAGGGCAAATGAGCCAGAGCTGGGCCATGATGTCCCCTGTCTTTGCTCCCCAGGGAATCCAGACCACTCCTCTCCAACCCAAGGACTTCATCAGGACTGCTGGGATGGCCTAGCTCATGCTTTTGGAGCACTTGCATGTGCCAGGCACGTGCTCTGGACAGTTGTAACAAACCCTGACAACCCATGGGGAATGGGCTCAGGATCAGCTTAATGAGGTTCCATGATAGGTCACCTACCAGGAGGTACCCAGGAACTCACTCCTGATCCCTGTACTGTGCTTTCTGCCCCTTACGATGTGGCCCCTTCCACATGCTCTTCCATCTCCACAGGATGGGTTAGTAGAGCAGACAAACAGTTGCCATTAACTTCATCGTCATGTAATTTATGACATGATAGTGGATGACTTCTGTCAGGGTTGCCACCAGGGGCCAGGTTTCTTGGCTACCCCTTCCCAGAAACAGGCCCAAATAAAGACTCCAGATGGCCCCTGCATGAAGCATATGACACGGAGGCACAGCCATGGGCACCTACCTCCTACCATTGGCCTCTCTGTGGATCAGCCTCAGGAAGCAGAGCAGGGGGCAGGGCTAGTGGCCTCTGCAAGTGACCACCAGCTGGAGCCTTGTACAATGGCAAGGGTCACAAGGGTCTGGCCCATCAGCCCCTGTGTTCTGGGTAGGTGAGGCCCTGGGCATAAAAGAGCCTTAGGAAACACAGCCTGCCCCCCACTCACGTACTCTAGGTTCTTCAGAGTGCTGTTGGTGCAGAGAGCTCGAGCCAGATGCTGGGCTCCCTCTGGGCTGATGGAGTTTTCTCGCAGGCTGAGAAAAGAGAAGATCCTGAGCTGCTGACCAGGAAGATGAAGTCGCGGAGAAACAAGCCCAGGTGTTCAGGCTTTTAGAAATCCCCAGTAGGACCTGGCCTTCCTGAGTGATCTAGGTGTAGTATGTGCCTCCAGCAACCCCAGGCTCCAATGGCTAGTCAGCCAAGTGTATTCCCTTTAGGACTGTCAAGAGTATTTTGGACAGTCCAGGAAGAAGAGGATAAGACAATGGGACCTCAGAGCTGTGAGGAGAAGGCATGCATTCTTGGATGCCTAAAAGACTTGTGTATGGGCAGGGAGCAGCAGAACCTGCCACTTGAGGCCACAGCTGCCCCTGCCCTCCTGAGGTGAGGAAGAGTGCAGGATGCCAGCTCTAGAACCAAGCTGCCCAACCATTGGTCTATAACCAGCCTATGGGGAGTAGGTGTGGGCTTCCCAGTACCAACCTTTCCTTCCAAGTCCCAAAGTCCTTTAAGACACCCTGGTCAAAGGGATACCTTGTTTGAGAGGGAGGCTGGGACTTACTTGAGGCTGAGGAGGGTTCGGTTGGCACAGAGGGCCCCCATCAGCGCTGCCACTCCTGTATCACTGATGGAATTGCTCTGCAGGCTGCAGACAGAGGAGAGGGCACACTTGGTGTGGCTGTCACAGGATCTGGAGGGAGCCACCAGTCCAGCTGACGCACTGAATTTCACAGGGAGTTGGGAGGTCCCTGGGGCAATTGTCACCCCACATCGTTCTTCTCATCATCCCTCATTCCTCTCCCATCTCCCACATTCCAGCTCCTCCTAGGTTGGGGCAGATCTAGCAAAACCAGCCCCAAAGTTTAGACTGCCTTGGTTTGGGTGTCTCCAAATGTCTCTGAGGGGGGTGTGCTTTGTTTGCTGCCCCCAGAGAAAGCGGCACAGTTGAGTCTTCCCAGTGTGGGGTAGTGCCGAGCTCCCTGGCCCCACACCAAGGTCATTGCAGCTGACCCCTCTTTAGCTACCTGCACCAGCTTCTAAAGGACACTCGGTACTCATCACTCTGAAAACTCCAGAACCAACACCAATCCCTACTGTCCAGGGAAATGGAGCTTGTGTAGTAGGATGGGACAGGTAGGGTGGGCATGGAGGAAAAACCACTGAGATCACAGTCTGCCCAGGGTTGGTGATTGGCTGAGTTATGCAAGGGAAGTGGCCCTTACAGCCATCCTCCAGGACCCAGCCACCTACTAGATGGGGAACCCGGAGTAGTGGGGAGTCACCCTCTGCCTACTGCCACCCCTGGAGGGTGGTCAGGCAGACTCACTCCAAACTCTGTAGGCCCTGGTTCACCTTCAGGGCTTCAGCCAGGGCTTTAGCACCTCCATCGCCAATGCTGTTACTGGAGAACCTGCAAGAGATGGGACACAGGTGAGTCAACCTCCTGGAGCAGCCAGGGAAAGTGGGGCCTAAGGATCAGGGTTCAGGGGAGGGCTGTCTCTGTTGTCTCAAGGGTGCCTACTACACCTGTTCCCTGTAAGAGATCAAGGTAGCAAAGTCCTCCTTGGTTCTCTGGAAGGGGCCAGAGCCAATCTTTCAGTGAGAGGTATTTGTGATAACTTTATGTGAAGGTGGCCATGAAATGCTGTTTTCTTCTGCCAGTGGGGAAGGTAGTAAATGTGAGCCTGAGACAGTTGTGGCTCACTCAGTCCTGGGAATCTGGGTCTCCATTTTCCTGGTTCAGTGCTTTGGAGTCAAAAGCTAGCTATCCTGTACCCATCCATCCATCCATCCATTCATCCATCCATCCGTCCGTCCGTCCATCCCCATGCTAACAAATATTTATGATGGGTTGGGCATTGTGTTAGTCATCGAGGATACCAGTTTGGCCCTTCTGCATTTCTCACATGAGCTCCTTCAGACTCCTGTTCTGCTTCAGAGCATCTGCCATCCGCTGGGCTCCCGTAGGCCCAATGGTGTTCTTCTGTAGGCTGTGAGAAAAGATAGGGACGCTTCAGCAAATCTGGTCACAGCCACTCCCAGGCCAAGGACACTCTGATTCAAGATGAGAGGTCAGAGAGTACTGAGTGCCTGTCTCCACATATCACAGCATGCGGGGAAGAAAGGTCTGCTGATTGTTGCCAAAGTGATGCCAAAAGACTGACATTATGTGGAGAGTAAGAGGCAAGGGTGGCCAGCCCCTCCCTTGTCAGAAGCTGGACAGCAGTGACCAGCAGACATTGATAATATCCAGCAACTTTCTGAGTGGGGACTTCTATGTAGCAGTCCCACTGGCCCTTTATCCCTCTAACCCTCTCAACACTCAACAATCTATCTCCGTGTAGACCAACCAGCAGCCTGCCTCTAACCCTACAGTGTTCCCTAAGGCAGACCCTCCACTAAGGTTCCTCTTTTCTAAAACTTCTCTTATATTAAACTTGGAGGAGAGGATGTTACAGGAGAACCCCTGTGCTCATCCTAGAAGGACGGTCAGGGCAGGAACTCTTGTGTGTGAGACTAAATACAATCCAAACAAAAGGGAAATTTCCCTTGGTTCCAAAACGGAAAGACACCCTCTCCTCCCTTTTCTTAGACTACCTCCTTTTGTGATTGTAAATCCTTTCCCTTTCTCTTTTAGAAATATGTAAATCTTCTTAAAAGCTAAGTAAAAACCTCTTGCCAGGTTTATAGCCTACGAATGTCTTGTAAGGACTTTGGAGCCATCTCTTTGAAGTGTAAACATTAAAGAAGATAGCAGACTCCCAGTTGTAAATGCCTCCTTGTCATGAAGATATGAGGTTTTAACTTTATGTTGGCTAAAGGCAAAATTAACAAACCCAGATGGCTACCCCAACTACCATGCTAATTTAGGATAAACTATATGTGACAAATGGTGCTGTCCAGTCCTCTTACCTGAAGATAAGTTGTTGTTTATTTTGGGTTGTATTTGTTTGGCTATGGAAAAGGGTGTGATTTCTTTGTCTTTGCAATCTCATTGGTAGTTACCGATAATGGGCTTTGAATGCTTATTCAAGTAATAAAGTTGTTTTGTTCTTTCCCACATTTGTGGAGAGGAATTTCTGGACTGGCAGGAAGCTTTATTTTTAATTATTTGTCCAACACCCGTTCTCTAGAAAAGCAATGGACATCTAGTTCTCCAAGGGCCAGGTAGAAGGCTCTTGGAGGAGGAAAGGAGAGGACAGAGGAGGCTTTCTGCTAGCCAGCATGTCCACTTACTGCAGCACGGAGAGGGTCCGGTTGGCAGCCAAGGCCTCAGCTATGGACCTGGAACCATCATCCCTGATTCTGTTGCTCTGAAGGCTGTGGAGGCAAGGAAGAGGCACATCACAAATGGAGCACACAAGGGCGCCCAATGGTGGCCCAAACACCCCCATCATAGGGTCACTGATGCCCAAGGGGAATAGCAGATGACCTCAATGAGCAAGGACTCTGACCCCTGCATTCCCTCACTCCCTGGCACACAGGATTTTGGGAACAATTGGCCCGGCTCTTTGCTGCTCTGGGCTTAGGTTTCCCTCTGGGTCTCTAAGCACTTGCCTGCTGATTGGGGTTGAGGTGCTCATGCTATGTGGATAACAATAACTAGGTCATCAGTAGTCCTGATTACAGCCAAAGGCAACGGCACCCAACTAATGGTAAGGATGTGGTGAAATTGGGATCCTCATCCCCTCCTGGTGGGAATGTAAAATGGTATGGCTGCTGCAAAACACAGTCTGGTGGCTCTTCGAAAGGTTAAACATAGAGTGACCATGTAACTAGCAAATTCCACTCCTAGGTATCCACCCAAAATAATTAAAAACAGGTACTCAAATACTGTACAAGAATGTGTATAGCAGCATTATTCACACTGGGAAAAGGTGGAAACAACCCAAATGTCCATTAACTAATGAAAGGATAAACAAATATGGTTCTGTCCATACGTTGGAATATTATTCAGCCATAAAATGGAATAAAGTACTGATACATGTTACAATACGGATGAACCTTGAAAACATTATGTTAAGTGAAAGAAGACACACAAAAGGTCATCTTGTGTGCTTCCATTTATATGAAATATCCAGAATAGGCAAATCCAGAGAGACAGAAAGCAGATTGGTTGCTAAAGGGGAGAATGGGAAGTGACTGCTAATGGGTACAAGGTCTCCTTTTAGGATGACGAAAATATTTTGAAACTAGATAGAGGTGATAGGGGGACAATTGTGAATGTACTATGTGCCATTGAACTGCATACTTCGAAATAGTGAATTTTATGTGAATTTCACCCTAATCAATGAAAAACAAAACAAAACAAAATGATGGTGCACAGTCAACCAAGGATGGATACAACCACTGGTCTCTAAAAGCATAGCAAACCACACAAAACCAGAGGGATCTTCTGGAGGACAGGCTCTCAATGTCTTGGAAAACATCTCAGGGGAACATTCTGACACTGTGGACTTGAGGATTTCTCTTTCAATGGAAGACAAGAAGTTTTCCTCATAGATTATTTTGCCCCTCTACCGTTCTTCTCCTTTATCCCCTGCTCAGGCCATAAACACAAGCACTATGACCAGGGAGGAGCTGGAACATGGAAACCTGCTTAGGATACATGATTCTATAGTATCCACTGAGTGGGAGTTGGTATCTCATGGCCACCATCCATTCCATGGATGGCACCTGAGAAGAAGGCTTTCTGGTCCCTCTCCATGGGGCAGCATATACGATATACCTCAGAGAGGCTAGAGTACGGTTAATCTTCAGAGCATCTGCCAGCGCCTTGGCCCCTTGAGGTCCAATGGAGTTACTGCGGAGGCTGGTGGAAGGAAGAGAGAGAAAAAACCATTCTCTTTTATCAATTTCCAAGGAGGAAACAAGGAACAGAAGTTACACTGACCTTTCAATCTATGCTCCTTGAAAAAAACAAAACAGGGTATAGGTATCAGGGTATAGGATTTCATGTTTGGTGGAACTGAGGCAGAGATCCATATGTAGGCGAACAAGGAAAGAGTTTCAGATGGTGGCCCCATGTGATGGGGAGAAGAAAACAGGATCTGATGGACTAGTGGGTTTGGACCAAGTGTAGATAGGAGAATGACAATACTACGTTCAAGGCCAAAATTCTGGTGCTTCCGGGGTGAGTCCCAACACCTGAGCAGGAACCATGACTTTGCTTGCTCAGTTGTCCTTCCAAGCCCACCCAGGGGAGAGTACAATTTAGAGAACTTCACAAGATGTTTCACAAGCGTTCCCTGTCCCAATGGTGAAAGATTGGCCTTTGGTGTTGTACTTACTCTAGAGTAGTCAGACTTCTGTTGACAAGGAGGGATCTAGCCAGAGCTTTGGCCCCTTTGTTACTGATCTGGTTCTCAGCCAAGCTGTGCAAGGAGAGGGAGAGAAGTGGTTATTGCAAGTCTATAAAGCTCATCGCCTTTTCCTCAACTCTAGCCTCATGATCCAAACTCCTCGGCCTCATCAGCATCATCAGGGCCTGAACACAGGTGGAGATCAGGTGAGCCTGGAAACAGATTGCCAGGCTCAGGAAAGCTTCTGTGCCAGGCAAGGTAGGGCCAGAGTGGGCAGGCAGACCTTCACACTGGCAAAGGGTCCTATGGAAAAGTTTGGCCAGAATCCAGCACAACAACTTCTATACAATACGTTAAAGAGAATGGCCAGTTACAGAAGTCTACAATGTGGACCCCAGCCTGTGGTATGCTAGAAAACTGCCTCTCAGGAAAACCAAAGTACAAAAACCGTGATTTTTAGCATTGGCCAATTTCCATGATGTAAATACTCCCACCATAGTCAATTTCAAACCCTCACAGCTTGCAAAATTCCATGAAAATTTAACAATCAGCTCTTATGAACTCATAGTTCCAGCATACCACTGGCCCCAGATCTTTCTATAATGCAAGAAGAGAAAATGGTAGCATTATTACAGAACTAACTTTAAAGGAAAAAAAAGTACATCTGTATCTGCCTTGAAAGGGTGATCCCAGAAATATACTGGTGGATCAACCTAATGTTGCTTCATGTACCCAGTTTCAAAAATGGTAGCTGATGAGGTTCAGTGTTTTTTAGACATTTAAAACTGTGGGGCAACCCCATGGGATAAAATTAGATTCCGCGGTGCTTTTCAAGCTGTATTTCAAGGGCCCCTAGGATTCCACAGAAAAGCTTCAGGAGCCACCAGGAGTCTGAGAAGGAGCCAAGTGCTTGGGCTCTGGGTCCCCATCCCCTCTTCTTTTAATCTCAGCAGCTTCTTCTTTTGTCTGTTTGACTTACTGAGATTCTGTCTGGAACACCACTATAAAAAAGGATTCTACTGCTTTAAAAAAGTTTAAAGATCATTCACCCAGAGCATCTGCTATATAAATGCTAGAGGGCCTCTTTCTACCCCTACCACCCTCAGAATTTTTATAATATTTTATAAATTAATATTTCATGAGCCATATATGTTTTGTGAAGGATTCCTTGGGTATTTCAGGCAGGGATGTGGCGCTGAGGACCAACCACAGAGAGTTGAAGAAGAGTATGTGGCCATAGAGGAAATACTGGTTTCGTTCAGAAAAAATTCCTGAGCACTATCTAGATTCCTTTAAGCCAAACACTGAAAGTTGCCTATTTTGCTGAAGGTACCCATGAAGGAAAAATATTAATAATGATAAGTTGTCATTATCATGTTTCTCTCAAAGGAATTGCATTTATGTCTCTGGTTAACAAAACAAAGGTAGTCCTGCTAATAAATAGCCGCCCTTACACAGTGCTTCCTTTGTGACTGTCCTGTCCTAAGCACTTTCTTGAATTAACTCGTCGGAGCTTCACAAGGACTCTAGGAGGCAGTGTGCAGCAAAGGATTAACTTTGCTTCCCCACAACCCCCTCTGGCTCCTGCCTGTTAAGAATGTCTCTGCCTACCTGGAGGCCTGAGGTTATGCTGACTATTTTATCTCACAATGTGATTTATATTGGGGACCTTGGGCCATACAGTGTCAGCTTGACTTCTGGAGGAGATGGAGAATAAGGTCAGCATATAGGAGGTCAGGAATGTCTTAGTGACCAACTCCCAATAAAGACTCTGGACACCAATGCTTAGGTGAGCTTCCATGGTTGGAATGCTTTGTGTTGTCATATGTCATTGCTGGGAGAAGGAAGAGCTGTCTATATGACTCCACTGGGAGAGGACAGCTGGAAGCTCATGCCTGGTCTCTCCGGGACCCTGCCCCATGTGCCTTTTCCCTTTGCATATTTTAATCTGTATCCTTTCAGTGTAATTAACTGTAACTATGGATATGACAGCTTTTTTGAGTCCTGTGAGTCCTTCTAGTGAATTGTTGAACCTGAAGCTGGTCATAGGGACCCCTGAACTCAAAGGTAGATATATTTTTAATCCTTTTTTACCCTCCTTAGGCACAGAGGTGTCTGTACAAGGTCACATGGAGCCTACCACTCTAGCCACTGTATTCAATGACTGTTCCTGATTCATTGTTTATTTTTGTTTCCTCAGATAAAGATTATTTTAGAACCCAGAGGCTTGTGTGTGAATGAGAAATTACACTCTGGGTCCTGTTCTCCAAACGCACCTCCCTAATTCTCCAAAAGCCATCTTCAGGTCATAATATCATTTGAACTACAAATCAGGGTGGTATTCAGAGTTGGAAATTATTTCAGTAGAGATTTCGTAAGCACATAGATCTGCACTACAGTCAGCCTATAACCTTTCATCTAATTACATTAAAGATGCAATGTTTAAATTAAAATTTTTTAATTAAAATTTTTCAAATTAATAAAATTTAAGTTTTATTTAAAAATGCAATTCTGTACCTAGAATACTGTTTGAGGGCAAACTTTGAGAGGAGCTTAGAAAAAACTAGGCCTGGTGCCATATCAGCACGTATAGTATTTGGAGAAATGCTTCCATGTGCACCATAATCTCTGATCCCCACCCCTCCAACACACACCATACCCTTTCTCTCTTTTTAAACAGATGAAGTACTTGAGCCTCTGAAACTTTTGGGAATGGGTGGAAATAAGCAGCCTGCATCCTGAAACATATGCTTTAAAGACACCTCTCCTTGAAAGAACCACTGGTCAGCTGGGCAGAGAGGTGAATGGAAAAGGAGCCCCCAGACCCCAAGACACAGGTAGGCACTCTGGGCGGGGGCTCCTGGGTCAGCATTACCTGATCCTCTGAATGCGACAGTCCTTTCCACTCAGCACGCTGCCCAGTAGCTCCATCACAGGGTCCTGGAACTGGTTGGTGTCCAGCCTGGTTGGGAGAAACAGCAGTAGTGAGTGGTACCATTGGCCACAGGCAGGTGGGATGAGGCCTGGCTGGCATTGGGGCAGCAGAGGGGGCCCAGGCTGGGCTCCTCTCCCTTCCTTTCTCTCCATCCCCGTGCAGCTCTCGCCATGTGGCTCAGAGATCTGAGCCAGCACACCCACCATGCTCAGAGTTTTCCTACAAAGGTAAATTGGGAGGCTTAGTGGCATAAGCCCTGGGGTTCCTTCCCAGCAGCCCCACACACTGTGTGCCTCTGTGGGACACCAGTTGCTAGCTCTTCTTCTGAGGACATGGAAGCTGCTCTCAGGTCCTGAATGGCCCTGGTCTTGCAACTTTTCCCCCACCCCTGCTAAGGTCTAGAACAGTGCACAGAGGATGAGCTGAGGGTGAAGTGAGTGGGTGTAGCTTCCATCAGCACCGGGATGGTTCATAGGGTGTTATGGGTTGAATTGTGTCCCTCCAAAAGATATGCTGGCATTCTAAGCCCTGTTGCCTCAAGAATGCGACTTGATTTAGAAATAGAGTCATTGCAGATATAAATAGTTAAGATGAGGTCATATTGGAAAGGGGTGGGCCTGTCATCCATGTGACTGGTGTCCCTACAAGCAAAGAGAGGGCTATGCGAAGACAAAGACATAGAGAAGGTGACCGTGTGATCACGGAAGCAGAGATTAGACTGATGTGCCTATAAGCCAAGAATTGCCAGCAACACCACAAGCTAGAGAGGCAGGAAGGATCCTCCCTTACAGGTGTCAGAGGGAGCATGGCCCTGCTAACACCTTGATTTTGGACTCAGGCCTCCAGAACTGTGGAAGAATAAGTTTCTATTATTTTAAACCACCCAGGTTGTGGTCCTTTGTTACAGCAGCCTCAGGACACTGATACAGGGGGGCCTGGTGGAGGGTAGGCACCTTCCAGGTCCTCCACTCTCTCCTCTGTCCACATACCCTGCACACCCCATCCCAGCACCCACCTGAGGCTCCGGCAGTAGAGCAGCTGGGGAAGCAGGCTCTGGAGGACGCCCTGACTGAGACGCAGGGACAAATTGGCCTCCTGGGCGCAGGCATCCGACACCTGCAGGAGGTAGGCCAGGGCAGCGCGGTGTGGGGGGCCAGTCAGCCCAGCCAGGCCCCCGCTCTCCATGGCCTCCTCCACACTGCGGGCCAGCTCTGTGTGCTGCAGCTCGTGCAGGCAGTGCAGGACATTGACCGCCCGGGCACAAACCGCCACGTTGGGGTGCAGGCAGCCCTGCAGGAGCTCAGCCGCCTGGGCCCGGGAGCCCTGGTGCTCACCCGGAGCCAGCATGGAGCCAGCCAGCAGGGCATTGACCCTTGGAGACAAGAGGCCCGAGAGGAAGCGAAGGAACACATCCAGCCGTCCATCCTCGGCCTGCATGGCCCGCTGGGCTGCGCTCCTGAAATGCGTGAGGAAGCCCAGCCGGGGCCAAGACATGCCGCCCTCAGTGAAGAGGTCGAAGATGGCCCTCTTGGATGCACTGTAGTAGTATGCGGCTGCCACAAACTCCTGCAGGGACAAGTGGGCGAAGCAGTAGGCTGCTGAGGAGGCCAAGGTCTCCTCCCGCTGTAGGAAGCAGCTGCACAGAGCACTCTGCAACAGAGCAAGGTCCACACCGAATGCTTTCAGGTCTGGCTCATAGAACACATACTTCTTTTTGACCAGCCCATGGAATGCCAGCCGGCCCAGCGTTCCTACCACCTTGCGGCTGCCATGGGCCAGCTGCTCAATGCGAGGGATTGCCTTGGCCTTTTCCTGCCCCTCCCCACCCAGGGCCATCCTGAAGTACCAAGAGTAGAGTTCACACAGGGTCCTTGGAGGCCACAGCTCTGAGTCCTGGAGACCCCACCTTTGGTGGTACAAGTGGCCCAGCACCGACCCCGCAAGCCGGCAGAAGGCTGGGACAGTGCACATCAAGTATAGGGCCCTGTTGGCCTGCATCTGGTTCAGGACCCAGCTCAAGAGGACCTGGTCTTTGGGGAACATCTGCTCCAAACACATTTTGATCTCCTCTGCATTAAAGCCCCGGATCTCGGTCATTCGGTCCACCAGGCCCCCTGGGATCTGGCCAGCCATGCTGGGGCGGGAGGTGACCCAGACAGAAACTTCTGGGAAGAGGTTGCCCCGGATAATGTTGGTGATCAGATGGTCCACTTGGATCTCCTTTTTGGGGTCGGTGCAGGCCACAGTGTTGGAAAAGTCCAGAGGCATCTTACACTCATCTAGGCCGTCCAGGATAAGGAGGACTTTGTCTGGGGCTGCTGCTTCCAAGCCGGACTCCCCAACATGCGGAAAGACAGAGCGGATGAGTCTGTCTGCAGACAGTTTCTCATAGGTGTTGAGATCCCTGAAGGTCAAAGGCAGCACCAGCGAGAAGTTCTTGCCAACCTGTCCTCGGGCCCAGAGGCGGATGAAGTCCCTCACCAAGGTGGTCTTACCCACGCCAGCCACCCCAATGGTGATGGAGATTCGAGGTGGGATGGACACCCGAGACAGAGGCAGGAAGAGCCTGTCCAGGGCGATGGTCTTGGTGGAGTGCCAGCTACCGCGTGTGGCCTCCACCTGGGTGAAGTCGTGTTCCCTCAGCTGCAGGTCCGTCAGGCCCTCCACCAGCAGGAGGTTGGTCAGCCTGGGCGAAGGGCCGCCCAGCTCCAGGCTGCCTCCCGCCCTGCTCAGCAGGGCATCTCGGTGCCTCTGTATCCTCAAGTCTGTGGGACAGAGGCCAGAGGGGAGGGCGAGTGAAGGGAAGAGGAGAAGGGGGAGGGCTGAGGGGGCAAGTAAAAGGAAGGGGTTGGGGGGTAAAGGGAGGGGAGAGAAGAAAGGGCCCAGAGATAACCGTCTGTCTGCCTACCATTGCTGTGAGGCCCCAGCAGGGAATCCGGTGTCCTGTCAGGGATCTGTGGGGTCTGGGAGCCCTGACTGCCCTTTCCAGCCAGCAGGTCCACGAGGGCTTTCACCTGCTCGGCTGGGGAGCCAGCACCATGGCCCTGGCCAGCCTCCCCGCCCTTCAGCACCTCCTGCTTCTTCATGGAGTCCAGGATTGCCACCAGGAGCTGTGAAGAGAGGGCCTGAACCTGCTGCCTTCTGTCTCCCTGCCCACAGGCTTGGGACAGGTAAGGAGTTTCCAGGGATGGGTGGGAACTCATCCTTTGGGGACCCACCCTTTCTCCTCTTTCAGCTAGTGGCCTACAGTCTGGCCTCCAGGAAAGGGTTGGAAGGGTTATTTGTTCCAGATGGTGAGAGTAGTCCCTGATTCCAGGAACATTGCTTGGATGTAGGGGAGCAAAGAAATAAGAACTGGGGCTCAGGCTTAGACCGGGTCTCTGCCACTTACTGGCTCTTTGACACTGGGCAGGCCGCCTGAGCTCTCTGCGCCATGGTGTCCTCATTTGTAACCTGGAAATGGTGATGCAGTTATGAGCAGGTTAACTCACGAAACAGGGAGAATGAAAGAAGCCAATGTGGAAAGGCTACATACTGTGTGATTTTAACTCTATGTCATTCTGGAAAAGGCAAAACTATGGAGACACTAAAATGGTCAGTGGTTGCCAGGGGTTTGGGATGAGGAGGGAGGGATAAATTGGCCGAGCACAGAGGATTTTTTAGGCCAGTGAAACTATTCTGTGTTATACTGCAGTGGTAGATTCATGTCATTATACATTTGTCCAAATGCATAGAATGTACAACATCAAGAGCAAACCCTAATGTAAACTGTGGACTCTGGATGATAATGATGTGTCAATGTAGGTTTATCAATTGTAGCAAATGTGCCATTCTGTGGGGGTATCCATAGTGGGGGAATGTGCACCTATGGGGGCCAGGGGGTCTATAGAAATCTCTGTACTCAATGTTTTTTAAATTTTTACTCAATTTTTCTGTAAATTTAAAACTGCTCTAATAACTAAAGTAGATTAAAAAGAAACAAAAAGAATGGAGGAGTTGAAAGGAAGGAGAAAGTTGGTTCTCAGAGCAGCTGTACAGCTACTTTTCTTATTCTGTTTTCCTGGGGCTCCTGACCCCCAGGAAGCTCAGTTTTCTGCTGGGGACAGTGATGCAAAAGCACTAAGAGGCAAAGCCGTGTCTGAGTCCCACCTGCTCACATTCCTTTTCCTCTCTGGGGACCTGAGTGGATCCCATTGCCAAGGTCAGCTGTCTTCCTGTGTCTCCCTCCCTCCGCTAAGGTGGACACTTGAGGACCACCAAGCATGTCCCCAATTCACTCCCCTTCTCACCTTCAGGGGGCAGGATATCTGGCCCAGGCAGCCCCTCCAGCAGGGCCTTAGGAACTCAGGGGGTGGGGGTCGGCCATCCCTCATCCAGGGGTCTAGGAAAGAAAACAGGACTCAGGCCTGGGCAGAAGTCACACTACTGCTTTGGGCACAGCAGCTCATCGAACCAGGTCTGACCATGCTGTTTAGCCCTGTGTTCTTTAGGTCTCAACATTATTCATTTAAAAGGGGTTCACTGGCTACAGCCCCAAGGACCCAACACACTCCCTGACCTTGGGTTTGCTTTGGGGTTCCCAGGCATTATACTCAGGATGAGCCCTTTCGCCTGGAAAATGCTAAAAGAAGATTAGCAACAAGCAAAATAGCATTTCCCGTCATTCAGTTCATAGTGGTGTTGGAGACTTGAGTGCAACGAATTTGAGATAGATGAACTAATCTGGGAACATTATTAGAAATAGGCATATTAGAAAGACGCCAGGGTGAGGCCCTTCATACTTCTTCAGAATCCTGTTAGCTATTCTCACTCTGTTATTCTAAGTGTCAGAAGTAAGGGGGGAAAAAAAACATGGGATTTTGATTGAAGTTGCATTAATGTGGGTATTATTAAGGTCTTCCTTTAGATCCTTTAGTAAAACTGTTTCCTCATCTAAATCTTGCCAATTTCTTATTTGTGTCTAGATATTTTTAAATGGTTTGTATCATTATTTTTGTTGATATCAAAGAAGACAGTTTTTGTGTATTTTATCTCATACCCTGTCAGCATATTAAGTTTTCATTCACATTAGTTCTCATCATTTTTCAGTTAATTCTCTTCAGGTTTTTGAATTACTGCAATACAAATAATTTCACTTCTTTTCTAAAATTATATCTCTTATTTTGAACAATTTTTCTACAGTGGCCAGACCCACCGTTTCCCCCGAGTGCTGCTGAGTGACAGCACTTGTAGCAGACATCCTGGTCTTACTCCTGACTCTACCAGAAGTGGTTCCAGCCCAAACCATTAGGCCTGATGTGTGTGACAGATTTCTGATTAGTTCTCTTCTTCTCTTGGAAAAGATTCCTTCAATTCCTCATTTTCTACTACCATTTAAATGACATTATGTCCTACTTACTGAAGGCTTACTGTGTTCCGGACATTCCGTTAAGCACTGTACTTACATCATTTCATTTACTTCTTGTAACAACTCTTATTTTCATTATTTCTCTCATTTTATAGATGAAGACACTGAAGTTCAGAGAAGTTAGATAACTTGCCCAAGGATCCACAATTGGGAAGCAGTTGAGTTGAGATAGAAACCAAAGTTTCACTGACACCAACACTTGTGCTGTATAATCTACTTAGAATATGCCTCTTAGAATATGCTTACACATTTAAAATATTTTAGGCATATCTGTTAAATTAACAAATTACTTTTTAGCAATATCGATATCACATGTCTTATTTCCATTTATTCATGCAACCAGAAAATATTTATTGAGGGCCCGTTGTGTGTTCCAGGCCCTGGGGATGTGAAGGTGAACAAGTTAGACACAGTCCTTACCCTGTAAGTGCGGTGGGGATGGGGGAAATGACAATGAAGAAGAAAATAATAAGCAAGGCAATTCTGATGGTGATGAGTGAGTGAAATAAACAGTTTGAGTGATGGAGAGGATTGGTGGTCTAGAGGGCATGGGATGCATTAGTCACAGTAGCCAGAGAAGACTTCTGTGAGAAAACTATATATAAGTGGAGATCTGAAGGATGAGAAAGAGTTAATTATGCAAAAAGCTAGAGGAACAGCAAGTGCAAATGACCTGTGAGTTAGAGAAGAAGAAAAAGTCGAGAGTTGACGGGGCAAGTTGCTAGGGCGCAGTGAATGAGTGAGTGGGCTCACAAAAGGGGTTAGGAGACAAGGTCAAAGTGGGGTTGAGACCTGGTCACTGCTCTAAGTTTAGATTTGTTCTAAGTGTGGTAGGAAGCCACTAGAGGGAGGGACATGATTGGTGTATATCAGATCTCTCCTTTAATCTGTGAGCTACACTAATAGATTTTCTAATATTGAACCAATCTTGCATTCTTGAATACAATCTTCCATTTCTATTAAGTGATATAGAACAGGACGGGCTAGCATAAGAACAAATACATAAATCAACAGAAGAGAATATAGAGTTCAGGAACAAATAAATATTTATATTATTTACATATGAAAGAAGTTTGGTAATATGAGAAAAATAGCATTTCAAATCAGTGAAAATGGTGTAGGAGCAATTGTCCGGCTTATGAAAAAAAAATTTTTTGAGCTTTACTTCACATTAACACAGATTTAGATTTAAGAGCTAAAATTATAAATACAAAAACCATAAAATTACAATAAGGAAATATGAGAGAATATTTTAAAATATTCTTTGTGTAAAGGATATTTTATGTCTTTAAGCAAGACATGAAATCCAGGAACCATAAAGGGGAAGATTAACATATTTGCTTTAATTTGATATTGCTAACTGATAATAAATACCACAATAAAGAAAACCTCAAGTCAGGAGTCAACATAAGGAACATACATGAAAGAGCATTATTATCCTTAATATATAGAAAATTTTTATAAATCGATAAGAAGTAAATACAAAATAGAATTATGGACACAGATAATTATGGAAATAAGCATAGAAAAAAGGACACAGATAATTCATAGAGGTATAAATGACTAAGATACTGAAAATATGTTCAATCTCATGAATGATAAAAAACAAAACAATGAACTATCATTTTTCATTTGTCTAACTGACAAAGATTATAAAGATATAATAGGCTACATTGGTAAGACTACATTGGTAAGACTACATTGGTAAAGATATAATAGGCTACATTGGTAAGATTCCTACTACTCCTATTGGTAGGAGTAGTAGGAATCTTAGAGTTAGTGGAAGCAAAAATCAGTACAATTTGGATCATAATTTGTCTTTATCCATTGCCATTAAATATCTTTGACCTAAAAATTCCACTTCTGGAAATTTATCCTAAAGAAATAATTGGACAAGCGCACAAAGATGTGGCTATAGGGATGATCCTAAAACATTGTTTATAACAAGAAATTGAAGGGAAAACTAAATTTCTATCTAAAGAGAATTGGTAAGTCTACAGCCATGCTACCCTGGACAAGCCTGATCCCATCTGATCTCGGAAGCTAAGCAGGGTCGGGCCTGGTTAGGACTTGGATGGGAGACCACCTAGGAAGATCAGGTGCTGTAGGTGTAAAAAATTAAAAAATAAGGGATTATAAGCTGACAAGGTCCTTGCAATCTGTGAGATCAACCAAGGATTGGCTCACCTAAAATAAAATAAAATAAAAAATAAAGAGGATTGGCAAAATTATTATGGCCCAGTTATACAGTGAAAAAACTATGTGGTCATAAAAAAATAATGTCAAACTGGAAAAATGTCCACAATGTACTTTTGTCTCTTAATGTCATAAAGGTCTTGATCACTTTTTTGACGTATAATTTATATACAATACAATGCACCCATTTCAAGTGTACTATTACATGAGTTCTGACAAATGTATATATACCTGTGTAACACCTACCATAATCAAGACATTGAACATTTCGTTTTCCAAAAAATGTTCTCTCATGCCCCTTGTCAGTCTATCCCAACTATACCCCTGTGGCCCTAAGCCATCAGTCTGCTTTTTTTTTTTTCACTACAGATTAATTTAGTCTTTTCCAACATTTAATATAAATAGAATCATATAGGATCTATACAATCTTTTTTTCACTTTTTAAAAATTGTGGTAAAATATAATGTAATTACCATCTTTATACAGTTTAGTGGTATTAAATACATTTACATTATTGTGCAACTATCACTACCATCATCCTCATAACTCTTTTCATCTTTTAAAACTCTGTACATATTAAATGATAACTCCCCTTTATCCTCTCTCTCCAGACTCTGGCAACAACCATTATACTTGATGTCTTTACAATTTTGACTATTCTAACTACCTCATATAGGTGGAATCATACAGTATTTGTCCTTTTGTGTCTGGCCTCCTTGACTAAGCATAATGTTTTCAGGTTCATCCATGTTATAACATGTATCGTTATTAACTTTTATGGCTGACTAATGTATATACCACATTTTGTTTTCCATTCATCTGTCAATGGATACTTGGGTCACTTTCATGTCTTAGCTTTTGTGAATAATGCGATTAACATGGGTATACAAATATCTCTTTGAGACCCTGCATTCAATTTTTGGGGGTATATACCCAGATAGAATCTCAGGGTCATATGGTAATTCTATTTTTAATTTTTTTAGGAACTGCCGCACTGTTTTCCACAGCAGCTTTACCGTTTTACCCTCACATCGAGAGTGTATAAGGATTCCAATTTCTTCACATTCTCACCATTAGTTGTTTTCTGGTTTTTTGGTAGTAACCATCCTAATGGATATGAGGTTGTATTTCATCGTAGTCTTGATTTGCATTTACCTAATGATTAGTGATATTGAGCATCTTTTCATATGCTTATTGGCCATTTATACATCTTCTTTGAGAAATATCTGTTCAAATCTTGCCTAGTTTTGAATCAGGTTTTTTTTATCATTGTCAAATTTTAGGAGTTCTCTATATTTTCTGGATATTAATTCCTTATCAGATATACGATTTGCAAATATTTTCTCCCATCCTGTGGGTTGCCTTTTTATTCTGTGGATAATGTCTTTTGATGCACAAAATCATTTAATTTTTATGAAGTTCAATTTATCTATTTTTTCTTTTGTTACTTGTGCCTTTGGTGTCATATTCAAGATATCATGACCAAATTCAATGTCATGAGGCTTCGTCCTATATTTTCTTCTAGAAGTTTTATTGTCTTATATATTACATCTAGGTCCTTGATCCACTTTGGATTAATTTTTGTATACAGTATTAAATAAGAGTCCAACTTCATTCTTTTGCATGTGGATATCTAGTTTTCATGGCACCATTTGTTGAAAAGACTGTTCTTTCCTTATTGAATAGTCATGACATCTTTGTTAAAACTCATTTGACCGTATTATGTGTTTCTTTCTAGGTTGTCTATTCAATTCAGTTGGTCTATTTGTCTTTAGGCT